TATTTCTATGACAAGGCGACTTTCTATTCCGAATGGGATCCCGGTGTAATCTCTGACAGACTTTTCGTTCCCGTCGTCTCGCCGAGACGTCGACCCGCCATGCGGGTATTACGCTTAATTTACGCTTAATTTCTCTGTCCTCCCTCTTTTTCCTCGTGTCTCTTTCCTTTTTGCCGCTTGTCACCCTCGCCCAAGGGAGTTAGAGCGAGGGAGGGCGATCCCCAGACCGATCCCGATGTCACGACGCAAACAGAGAAAAAGCTCTCCCACCGGGGGAGGGGGAGAGAGAGGGAGAGGGAGAGTCAGACGAGAGTTTGTCAGGAAATCCCGTTCACCTGAACGTTTCCCGCGAATATGAATGGCTCGCAGTTGTCCCGGGATTTCGCAGTTCCCCAATTTTTTCCCGAGGCTTTTCGAGTCTGTTTTCTTGCGCGTTCGCTGCTGGTTCGTTTCAGTTGTGTTCGGGGACCCGCAAGCAAGAAGAGAGAGTCGCGCGGATTTCTTCGGGTTTCGAGAGTCGCGCGGGACGATAAAACACGACGAGCGATTCATTGGAATTAATACTTTATCTACCAAGAGGGAAGCCTATTAATCGGCCTTTTTCATGTTAACGATTTATCGGTCGCTAGCCGATTAATTTTCCAGTTTTTTCGGTGGTCAACGGTTATCGATCGATGGCTTGTTAATTACTTTTTAATTATCCACGTATGTATGTATGTGCATCGAAAAAAAATAAAGGGCAAAACATCTTTTTTGTAATATTCTGTTACACAAGACTGTTACGAGCGGTGTTATCACACTTTAAAGAAATATTTAAAAAATTAGTCCGAATATCGTTACGTTCAAGCTATTATACGAATTATAGTCTACAAGTATACTATAATTGAGGTCAACTTTCATCGTGAGCGGTAGATAAAGTGTTAAAATAAGTTAAAATAGAGTAAAAATAGAATAAGCCAAAATAGGAATAAAACAGAAAACGCTCCGGGGAGGGCAATCGTTTCCAAATTTAGAATCGTCCACGAAATATTGTAACTTGATTGTCTTCTTCTAATATTCCTAACTAATATTCGTCTCTTGTGAGCGAAGATTATAAAGGGTTAAACGGTCCTTTCTGCACTCGTTTCGCCAATCTCGCCAGTCTCTTCGTATCCAGCAATTCTCTCATTCGCCCCTTTCCTTCGCCGAGTTGTTAACCCGCCCTTTCCCGACCGCTTCTCAGTCGGGAACGTATCTAAAGACGGCATCTTTGTATTCTCCCCCCCCTCCGCTTGCTCTTTCGTAGTGTGTTTTAGAGAGTCTGGCCGTGTGCTGGATGTGCTCGAGGCACTCGTAAAAGCACGCGTCTGCAACTTCCTGATTCTGACTCTCGACCCTTTCTCTCTCTCTCTCTCTCTCTC